CTGTCAGACTTTCAGAGGGGGAAACTCAAAGTACGTATTTGAAGGGTTAGAGCAGGGCACTGCTTTTCTTCTCTAGCCAAGTTCAATGAGGTGAATTTTCCAGTCTGAGGGTCGTGAGACTTGCAGGAGTATAACCAGGTCTCCTTGACTCTTGGAACTTTTGTTCTTATCCAGTGTCTTCTAGGTCTTAAAATGCCAATGGAATAACATGGCTTTTTCTAAAGGTCTTGTAAGAAGATGGAAGGAAAAGAAATATATCATAAAAACACCAAAAAATAACTTAAAAATGACCTTTAAATATTCCAGTCCCTTCTTTAATAGTTTTCTTTACTACAACAGCTGACAGAGCTCTCTGGTTTTCTTCTGTCCTTCCCCTACCTCCCACCATAGAGATAGGTTCAGACTCCTGCCGTGCACTCCCTCTCCACACCCCACTCAGGAAGACCAAAGCTAGTCCAGGAACACAAAAGCCAACACCGACTCTTATCCTTCCAGCAGGTACCTGGGGCATGCCTGTCCATCCCTCTCAACTACACCTGAGATGGCTTTAACTCAAAGATGTTGTTTCAGAGCAGATGAATCTTAAAAGGAGAAAAGGAGGCCACTTAAAGCCAGGAGTGAGGGAAGAGGGAAATCTGAGTTAGACTGGACTAGAAATAAAGAAAATTTAAAACCCATTAATGGGACCTCAATGTCGTGTTTCAAGGGGGAAAAGGAGGCTTGCAAAAATGAATCACCTACTCTGTGCCAGTCACAAGGGTGTGCTTGTGGACATGAGGTTACAATGAGATGGCAGAAGGAAAGCCCACATATTGTACACTAAATAAATGGAGGTCTTCACTGTTATCCTTGCTCAAGCCATGAAGCCATATACKCTCATAAGGGGTACACAAAAAGCTCAGGGTCTCTTAGAATTATAACTCAGATCCAATTCTATGGCACCATTTGAATCTTGTGAATATCATAGAGTGAGTGAGACTCCATGGACCACTGGCAGAGTCCCCGTCTCCGTTTGTCAGCCCCTTCCCACGCCTCTTTTCCAGTAATAATTGATGGTACAATTCTTATGGCATGATGGTCTCCAGCCTCCAGTCAGTGATGTCCAAGTCAAAAATTAGAATCTGGAGTCGAAGGTGAGATGCTCAAGGATCCCTCAGCTTTCTTTACTTGCACAACATATTGAAGCTAATAAGCCAAGAAATTAGTTTGTCTTCAAGGTTGTTTGCTCCAGGACCGTCTGTACCGCAGCAGTATCTCTCTACATCCAACATACACTGCTAAAGCAAAGCGGAAAAAGTCAGAAGGGAAGTCRGGTGCTTCATATTCTGGACTCCTTCTTTATTGCATAGTCTCAGTGTTTTCATTCATGGCGGACACACAGACAGAATTACACTGGTCAGGACCTAGAAACAGCAAAGAGAGAAAAGTCATGAAATCCCTAGTTTAAAAAAGTCACATGGCAGAGAAACCAGGAGAAACCTGAGGAAGCATGAGATTTCCAACTCTTTTCTAGTTGGATTGGTCAGGATAGGATAGGCTTTGCTGAGATAACAAATTGATGCTCAAATCTCAGTAGCTTAATACCACAAAGATTTAACTGTTGCTGTGCCATCTAGAATRTATGTGGCCACCACAGGTGAAGAAAAACCCTGGAAGTGGTAACTTTGGTCTTCACCGCACTTAGAAATGACTCACACCACTTCCACTATAGTTGTCTTGATAAGAAGTGGTCACATGACACAGCTCAAATGAAAGATGACTAGGTCTCTGCCATATGCTACTGGTAAACACCAGTGACACTGTAAACACCAGTCAATGCTAGTACAATATATATAATATCATTTTATATTTCTACTTCCCCTTGTGTTTTGCTGAGACCCAGAATCCTCCTCTTCTTCTTCTCTACCCCCTTGTAAAATCTCTCCCCATTCCAACTTTCCATCTGTCCATCTGTCCCCACCCCTGTTAGCTGACCATTACTGCTAAACAGAACTTGGGTTGTGGCCCTGGAGGTTACAATCTCCTCTGGATTTGCCAACCAGGCTAAGATTTTAACTGTTTTCCATTTAATCCTTAAAATCACTTCATGAGATACCTATTATTTACCCCCACCCTAGAGAAGCTCAAACTTATAAATGTAGATCATTTTCTAAGTGATATAGCTAATGAGTGAAAAATACTGAATCAGAATTTCATATATTCAATTCATTTTTAATAAGCATTTATTGAGTGCAACTTGATCTTGACAGGTGGTCCCTCATTCCTTAGAGATTAGGAACTTAATCTTTGGATTTGGACAGTCTTAGAGTCTGGCAGGAAAAGGTGCTGAAGTGCACCATGTCTCAGTTTCACCATCTATAAACCAATGACAATAACACCATTTATTCTGCAGTGTTAACGCAAGAACTTAATGAGCTAATGCATGCAAAGTGCTTAGTGCAATGCCTGGCTTGTAATAAGCACTCAACAGGTAGCAGCCAGGGGGAGAGCCATCCAATATATATCAATCCAGTGTGATTAAGGCTATGATGAAGGTAAATTCAGGATGCTATTGAAGCATGGAGAAGGGACGTGTAAATCAACTTAGTGCATGCTTTCTCGAAGTGTGTGGATGCTAAGGCAAGCTTTGAAAGAATGAAAATCATCCATATTGGATAAGATTGAAGAATAAGAGAGGAAGGTCTTCCAAGCCTGGGAAGGGAATATCTGGAGACAAGCGAGTATGAACCTGAACTGGAATGGGATGAGGCAAAGACAGGATGGCTAGTCTCCCAGGGTAACCAGATAAGGGTTGGAGCAGTCAGAGGAGCAGCTGTAGTGGTGTGAACTGCCAGGCCACCGGGGCAGCCCTGTAGTGCACACGTGAACCTTGTCCCAAGATGGTGGGAGTCTTGGTGCTGCTTAAGCAGACTGGACATTTTTTCAGAAAGGACACTTAAATTGCAGTTCAGAAAATGGGCTGAGGCAGAGACAAGGTTGCAGAAAGAGAGGACAGTAAGGCAAAATATTTGAGTCCCTTCTTCTCTCAAGCCTTTGATTTCTTTTTCTGACATGTGAGGCCAACAGTCCTTGCCTTGCCTGCCTCAAAAAATTGAGGTCAGAAAAACATGAATAAAAATAGCCACTTAGAACAGGGGTTAGCAAGCCTTCTGTAAGAGACCGGATAGTAAATATTTTCAAYTCTGCAGGCCTGATGGTCTTTGTCATACCTATCAACTTTGTCACGAAAGCACAAAAGCAATCATAGATRATGCCTATGAGTACAGATGTGTCGCCATAAAACTTAGTTTATGGATACTGAAATTTGAATTTCACATAATTTTCATGTGTCACAAAGTATTACTCTTATTTTTTCCCCAACCATTGAAAAATGTAAAACATGTTCCTAGCTCCTGTCCGCACAAGAAACAGAAGGGGCTGGATGTGGCTCACGAGCCCTAGTGTAATGACCCCTGACATAGAAGGTGTTTGGAAAGGGCAAAGCTCCCCATAAATTTAAGGGAGGAATGTTATGACTTCTGTTTACCAGTGGTAAAATTTTATAGTATCATAAAGGCTGTCGATCAAACTCRCCATTTGTGTTAGTTTTGAGATGATATATTTCCACTCATCACTTGATCTAGGATGCCCCATCTCTCTCTGCATTTTGCACAAGCACCTTCTGTAGTTTTGTTGCAGGAAAGAAACTTCTAGTTTCTGACCAAGTACTAGACACTTCCCACACTTCCRAATCACTTTCATTAGAGGCGGGTGGTAGGTTTAGAAGGGCAAGAACATCCAAACCAGGCAAACCCAGGGTTTGATTACAGCCTTTGGCAGTTACTAGTTTTGTGACCTTGAATATGTTATGTAAATGATCCGATTCACCATGTATTCATTCATTCATTCATTTATCCAACAAATATTCATGGAGTACCTACTATGTGCCAGGTATAATGCAAGACACAGTGGAGACTACAGAATTAAGAAGGAGGCATATACTTATGATATGGTGAGGTCACTGCAATGARAAAGGAGCATTTGGGTGTTGTGGAAGATGGAGGGACATCTCTCCTAAATCTGTGAGACACTAAAAACTCCCCAGGAAGGAGTTGCAAACCAACACCTGAAGGATGAGCCATGTCAGCCAGGATGGAGAAGCAGGGGGGAGTGTTTTTCATGCAAACTGGCTGCCTAGGAATGGCCCACAGACAAGAAGGTAGGGGACTGTTGATGGTGGCAAGTTGTTCATTTTGCTTGGGGCAGAGCAGAGAGTACGGGGAGATGAGTCAGGAAGGTCAGGCAGAGATCTCATCTCTGAGGACCTGAGAGCTGGGTTCGGGGGTTTGAAGTTTACCCTGAGGACAGTGGGGGCCCTGATGCATTTCAACCAAGGGATGCAGAAGAGGTGGAAGGAGAACAAGACTGGAGGCCAGAAGACCAGATAAGAAGCTGGTGCAAGTGAACCACAATCCAAGCAAAACACAAGGGTGGCCTGGACCAAGTGGGAATGAAACTCAGGAGAAGGGGACACCTTCGAGAGCCTTTCTGGAGTAGCGTTAATACCTGGTGATTGATCACAAGCAGGAGGTCAGAAGGAAGGAAAGGGAAGGGCAACGCCCAGGTCTGTAGACAAAATCTCTGTGGGTGGTGGCACCATTGGTGAAGAAAGGGAAGACTGGGGAGATGAAATTTGACGGGAAAACAGACATGTTTATTTATAACACTTCTGACCTTTCTGGGTTGTCCTAACTCTCAGAAACATTGGGCATGAGACACCACGAAGGGCACCTGGCATGTCACAGGTGCTTGATAAATGKTGACCCTTTCGCTGACTTCATTTTTTAAAATCTACTTCGAGCCCTTGTTTTGTTAGATCATAATGTTCTTTTGCTGTGCAGGGTGAGCTCTTCAGAGCCACAGGTTTGCAGTTCTGTTCACCGTACCTCATGTGTTCATGTGTGTTTCTTTCTCTCCTTCTCTTCTGCATGCTGCCTGGGGATTGGCTTCCTTGTGGTCAGCACCAATGGGCAGCGCCCAGGTGACCCCGGGGACTCCACTCTGCCTCCTCACCACAGGTGATCACCAGAGGTGGGTGGGTGGGAGGGGGTTGGGAGTGGCCCAAATTCAGTGGGTCCTCCAGGCCAGGTGCACCAGAGAGGAACTGGCAGTCCCTTCATCCCACCCTCCCATCCACCCATCCAGCCATCCATTCATCAATCCAATCCCACACTCATCCACCCACCCACCCACTCATGCATCCCTCTATCCATTCTACTAATGCTTAGTGAGCACCTACTAGGTGCCAGGCATTGTTCAAGGTACTGAGGGGTATAGCAGTGAGCAAAGGAAGAGGTTTCAGTGCCTCTCTAGGAGGGTAAACAGGCATTGGGCAAAAAAAAACTCCATAAATAAATGTGCAACTGTGAGTAATACTATGGGGCAGAGTGCCCAGTGCTCAAGACCAACACACCTGGAGCTCAGGGAGGGCTTCCCAGGAGAAAGGACAGTGGGGCTGTGCTCTGCTGCTGTGAATGAGTTGACCTAACAAGTCCATGGTTAGGAAGTTAGTCTCAGATAACCACTCTTCCTGACACTGCTCCTTCATGTGATGAGCCCTACTGTTCCTACCTGTTAAGTGGGAGTAATACTTCCTACCTCTTAGGGGACACTGTTTGCATTGTAAACTCTACATGGATACAGTCTTCTGAAGTTGCATTCTAAGACTACACAAGATCATAAATGGCAAAGGAGCTGGAAGAGAAGCTCCCAGGCCAGGGTAGGGTATTTTTTTCCAATGTAAATACCACCTCCTTTCTTCATTTACTGAAATACATGCCTCTCGCTCACATCCCGCGTGGGTGAGGGAAAGGGTTCCCCTTGGAGGGATGGGCTGGCTGTGAAATAAAAGCTATGAAAGTAGTACCACAAAATAGACACGAAAGACCAGAAATACATTTGGGGGGCGGGCAGTGACGGGATAAGGTAGCTAACAAAGAGGGAGCCCTTGCTGGCTTTATTTATAACAGTGCAATCAAAGGGGATTGGTAGGTAAAAGGTTTCAGGGTGGGAGGAGTCTTGCCTAGGTGCTTGCTTCTTCACAAAGAACAGGATAGGGAGTGGGAGTCAGCAGGATATTTGGTTCTTAAGGGATCATGCCCATCTCCACTACTGTGCTAGAACTTGGCCAGTGAGCTAAGCCAGACACCACATGAACCAGACATTCCTCAAACCAGCAGGTTCCTACTGGGAGTTCCTGATACCAGGCTTTCCTGCCTAATGGCTTCAACGTCGCTTTAATTCACTCACTGTTCAGATGTCCACTGTTCACTGTTCCCGCACATGCCATCCTGAAAAGGATGTAGAACCCATCTTAGCATAGACCATGGCATCCGTGATGCCCACTGCAATACCTTGGAGGGGAATGACAATCTGCTGCGGAATCTCTTTAAGTGGAAGTTTCCTGGCAATCTTAAACCATTAACGGTTGCCTCTCTCCAAGTTCCTTGCTCAGAGAATGGCCTCCTCTCTATTAACCTGGCTGGTCAGTTTATCACAGTGGGAAAGAGGGTGCAGTGGGCAGTGAGGACATGAGTTGGGCCATCCAGTACCTTCACAGTTCACACCACCTTTCCCAAACCCAAACCYGTCAGTTTGTGCATATCTTGGACTGGGTTCCCTGGATGTTGACCTGCACTGGGGATTCTTGTCAAGATTCTTCAAGGAGGGGTATTCTCAGAAGAAAGAAAGGGCAGGAGATGAAACAGGGCGGGGGACAAAGCTAAGGGAGGATGTGAACCCCCTGCATCAATCTGAGCCCACAGGGGTTTCTGAGGTGTGATTTGTTTTGCAGAGTTGGTCCCACTTTGAGGCACGAGGGCGGCACCTGTACCATGACACCAGTCAGCCATTGATGGTTGGTACCGTGGAGGCGCCTGACCTCCAGGAGACTTGGCTCCCCTATCTGCCTCTGTAATTCTCCAGGGCAGGAGGCGCCCACAGCAGCTGGAGAGTGAATACCCCAGGCAGGAAAGGCCGAGCCTCAAATGCACCCACTTTGGTTCAGTGTCACGGATGCTGGGAACCACCATAGCCCAGTGTGTTACTGCCAAGGCCTCGGGAATTTCATCTCAACCACTCCCTGGTTCTACAACCTTAAGCAAGTTACATGGCTTTATTTCACCTGGAAAGCTAATTATCACACTTCAGAGAACCACATTAAAGATTAAATTTGCTAACCCTAGAGAGAGTCCTAGAATAATAGCAGCACATATCAGGTCTTCAGATGGCGGTCCCCAGCCTCACCCTTCCGCCAAGGGAGGCAGGAACTGCAGATGATAGATAATGAGAGAGAAGTCTCTCTCGTCACTGTGCCCACACCTAATTCATGGAGGAAYCAGGCTTCTAGGGAGTGTGTGTCAGCAGCTTAGTATCTGCCGGGCCATTGTTCTCTGGGTTCTATTCAACCTGAGCAGCCAGATAATGTTTTCTTTAAACAGAGCCAATCCCATATCGGGCACATTTGTTCTTACCTCTTGCCTTCCCAGGCGTCTGAATGTTCCTCCTCTGACAGGTTTATTTCATTGCGTTCCATTTATTTCCACCTGTTTCTCGGCTTCGTTTGATGGGTGAGGTGCCTGCGAGTCTTTCTCTTTGAGCAGGCTGTCCCTAGCAGAGGGCGTTTTTGTTAATGTCCGTCCCCTGGTAGCAATAATGGCTGATGTAAATAATAACTGTCCAGGACTGAGTGATGGGGATATTAGACTGTAAGCCTGGGCAGCTCTTTTCCCAGCCATTGCCGCCTGGAATCCCACACAGCCACAGGATGTCGCAGGGACGGGCTGGCTTTCGGTGGGTGAGTTGAAGCTGAGTTGGGCCTTCAGGTTGCCGCCTCCTGGTCTGGTGATTCTGGTTATTTCTCTTCTCTGGTCAAGAGTCTCTTCACCTGGAGGAGGAGGAATAGTAATAATGCCCACAGCCTAGTTAATCATGAGAACGAAGCGTGATTGCAGCTGTAATCTTTAGTCTTCGTCAAACTAACTCCAGCTAGTTCTTCAGGTCGCCCTGAACTAGTGGCCTTTCCTTCAAGGGATTCAGGCTTCAGAGCAAGGTTTCTCCGCCTCAGCCCTGTTGACGTCTGGGGCTGGATGATTCTTCACTGTGGCAGGATTTCCTGTGCACTGTAGGAGGTATAGCAGCGTCTCTGGCCTCTACCCACTGGATGTCAAATACCATACCAACCCCAATTGTTACAACTGAATATATCCACTTTTACTCTCAACTGTCCCCTGGGGGCTAAAATCACTCCCCGTTGAAACCTTTCAGAGTGGCTATGTTCAGTAGAAATAGAAATTGCCCTGTGTATGCAATTTTTAATTTTCAAAGTCACATTTAAAAAGCAAAAACAAAAAGATGAAATTTATTATTATTATTATTATTTATTATTATTATACCAGGGATTGAACTCACGGGCACTTAACCACTGAGCCACATCCCCAGCCCATTTTATATTTTATTTTGAGAAAGGGTCTCACCAACTTGCTTTGGGCCTCGCTAAATTACTGAAGCTGACTTTGAACTTGCAATTCTCCTGCCTCAAAAAGCACTAGGATTACAGGTGTGCACCACTGTGCCCAACTGAAATTAATTTTAAGACCATAATTCATTTAACCTGATATATCCAGAATATTATCATGTTAATAAGTAACCGTTGTGTAAAAGCTATCAATGAAATCTATTTTACATTCCTTTTTTGTACTTTTTTGAAATCTTATCTGAATCTAAATTTAGAGTATGTCTCAAGTTAGATGCTGAGTTTTAATGGTTAAAATGAACTATGATCCTAAAAGAGAGAAAATGGTATGTCATGAGTAAACATACTTTTCATTGCTTCAGTTTTTAAATTTACATTAATTGAAATAAAATTTAAAATCCAGCTCCAACCACTTGGTGTTGGATGAACAAACCTAGAAGTGGGATTTGTCTTCATTCTCTGGGTCCCTAGCTCATAAGCAGAACAGTGTGTGCACAGAACCACGGCGCTGCCGGTGTTCAGTGCCCTTTGATCCATTTTGTCCCCCAGGAGACATTTTTCAGTGTCTGGAGATGGTTTTGGGGGTCACAAGTGGGTGTGGGGAAAGCAGGCGTCTATAGAATAGAGATCAGGGATGCTTCTGTCACAGAAATAAGGCACAAGCAGAGATGGACATTTTTCTATGGTAGACTCACTTGTGGCCGAAGTGGATGAGTGACTAGTTAGTTGATATTTCGCCTGAGACGATGGATGGACTCTGTCAGAGGCCTACCATTGCAGGAAGAATGCCTCTTCTCAGATCTCTCCTGTAGCTCAGTCAAGCCTCTATCTCTGGACACGATAGGAGACAGGCAGTGTCCAATCTGAAAGCCAGAGTGGATGCACTCTGAGTCTTTTCCAGGGGTGCATCCGGACTCACTATCTTGTTCATGTCCAGGGCCCACAAGAAGGGCTTTGGGAGAAGCCATCACCTGGAGCCCACCTCTGTTCCTTAAAAGGGAGACTTTGAGCAAATCACTTGGCCTTTCTAAGTCTCAGCTTCCTCATCTACATATTAAAGATGAGTCCTAGCTCGGCTCTGCCCCATCATAGCAACAGCAATGGAAGAAAGAGGTGCCATCCTTGTGCGGCTCTGGGTTTAAGAAGGTGCGAGGCCAGCTCCTCGTATTGTTCCTTTCTTCCCTGTGCATCTCATGTCAAAAAATTCATAGCGTTATTTTTTTTTTCTGTCCATCATTTAAGTGGAGGTCTTGCTCAAGGGACAAGATTCAAGCCATAATATACTCCCTGAAAGTGTTTTGCAAATGCCCTAAAGATGACCTTCCCAATGTTGATAATCCTAGACCCGAGTCCACAGGAGAGGTCTGTGTGGGTGCAGGGAAGATGGAGAAACAGCACAGCAGCCTCCCCAGGTTCTCTCGCTGGGCCCTGCAGGCTTGGACAGCCTGGGGCTGCCATGACCCTCCAGGGAACTCATGCCTCTAGTGGGAGTTAATGGATGGTGGGAGATCAGAAGCTGGAGGAAGTGGAACAGGGGAAGCTTGA